TATTCATTTTAAGTAGGACTGACTTGTGTTTGTTGACTTTTTGCGTTTCATGGTCTCACCAACTCCTTCTTTCCCTCATCCATCAGATGAATGAATGGTCACACTATGCAGATACTGGTGCTCTAAATATAATAGATAAAATATAAAGAATGATTATTTTAATTTTTGATACTAAGCTGTAAACTGCAGGAAAGCCAGTCGCTGACACCAGGTAGAGAAATCTAGTGAGATCATTAGTAACAAGGTAGCTGCATGTATCATGGATAAGGGTTAGATGAAAATTACAGTGGAACTAGAAGACCATCCTAAGTGAGGCAAGTAGATTCCAAGCAATAGGATGCCACATAAAATCAGTAAAGTATCTTAATTGCAAGTAAAAGCTGGATGTGCAAAAGTGCAAACATGAGAGGTCTGAATGGAAACTACAGCACCTGACAGAGGGCAAGTAACTTTACATGAGGAGTACCTCATGTGCACAGTGTAATGTCAAATCAAAAGGAATCTGTAATATCTGGGTGTGAACTGTACAGAAAAGACAGTTAAAGTTGGGGGCAGGCAGGACTCTATATAAAAAATTAGATTCCAGGATATATTTTCAGTGTGGCAGCTATCAACAGAAATCCATTATTATCATTTTAGAATTATGCTGTTGGCTGTAATGAGCAAATCTCATCAACTGTGTGATATTCTAGAATGCAACTGACTGTGAGAGGCAGTAATGATCAGTGACTTCATCTGGTCTGTATGCAAATGGTGTCCTTTTTACTGAATTTCCCAGTTTTAATAGGGTGGAAGCTGTTGTGCAGTCAGGACTCGTGCGTGTGCGTTGTTGCCTGTTCATCATTTTGGTCTCCACTTGTAGTATCGTACCTTCTCTGTTTGCTGTTTGATAACTAGAATTTAAGGGATCATTAATTAGGCATGGATTCCTTTTATTTTATTGTTTATGACCAATTTCAGATCCTATTTCAGACGAGGTGATACTTTTTTACAGAGTTGCAGGTGGCTCTTGTCGTGAGGAGTTACCAGGTCGAAGTGGTAGTCCTACATAGGTCAGAGTGGATAGAAATACAATACACAGTTGTGGGTTATGCCACAACTCTCTATATTGAATTCAAGATGACTTGGAAATATCAGCTATATGGAATCATAAATTTCCAGCTTTCCACACTGATTACCTGCTAGCAGGTCTTGCTAATGTCAGGCTGCAATTAACTGAATGACTGCCTGTGTAAAATCAAGTTTCTATTTAAGAAAAACCTTCAAATTTTGATCATGTATTCCCAGAGCACACTCTCTCTGTGGTAGTTTGACCTATTTATTCTTGATATTAAAAGAATTCTATTTCTTTTACTTCATTATCAGCAAGATAATACACATAGTCAATAATTCATGTTGCAGTTTACTCAGTAAACAGAGTGCGTTTTGAGAAAGATTGTTTTCTTTTAAGCATTGCATCTGATCCAATAAACCAAATTATATAATAATAAAGTATGTCATCAATGTAAACAAATACCAGATGGGTTGTAAAACATTTAATTTTAGATCAGCGCAAATAGACTGAGATAAAGGCTGTTGTGGCATATTGTCAGTCACTAGTAGAGCTCAAAAAGGATTCCCACTGGGTGTCCATATCCTGGAGGATTCCACCTTCGTGCTTGTTTTTCTCTTGTTGAAGTCTTGCTCTATTTGTCCCCATTTGCTCCACGTTATTGCGCTTTCAGACACGGTGCGCTGGCCGGGCTGCGTTTCAAAGCGTGACAGTGCAAGCCAGCAAGGGTTTGCTGATGAAAACCAGGAGGTGCTCCCGGGGAAGGTCTGCCGAGCTGCGGGCACCACGGAGGCAGGGCAGCTGCTTTCTGTAGTGTGGGGAGTGCTCTTATCTCTCATATTATTTTCCCACCCTGGAGGGCAGTGGGTGCTGTAACCCGTACCAGACCCAGCTTCTGTAAATGTGGATGTAAACGGTGACATCCAGCGCTTGTAACTCTTAAGATACAAATGCATTCACTACAAGGCTCTTTCAGTTGTGGTCAGTTCAAGTTAAAAGTATCTTTACACTATTAAATTGCAAGGCTAGGGTTTTTTTCCACACAGTTAAAACTTTTTCTTCTGTATTTAAGATATCTGCTAGCACTTCCGTAATAAAGTTTTATAGTTTTGTGTTCACTGACATTTTATCTTATCTTTAGGGACATGGTTTAGTGGTGGACTTGGCAGTGTTAGATTTTGCAGTTGGACTCAATGATGTTAAAGGTCTTTTCCAAGCTAAATGGTGCTATGATCTGAATTTATATTAATAAATAAATTTAAATCACAGAATCACAGAATGGTTTGGGTTGGAAGGGACCTTAAAGATCATTTAGTTCCAACCCCCCTGCCATGGGCAGGGACACCTCCCACCAGACCAGGTTACTCAAAGCCCCATCCAGCCTGGCCTTGAACCCCTCCAGGGATGGGGCAGCCACAGCTTCTCTGGGCAGCCTGTTCCAGTGCCTCACCGCCCTCACAGCAATGAATTAGTACAACTCTTTTATCATTATATCAAAAGGGGTAGTTTTAGCTATTGTATTTGGAGGGCATCTGCATTTTAGTGTTTTTACCTGTATGTGCCACCTAAAACTATGATTTCTTAGTTCATGCAAACTGTTTTGGATGTTTTAAATCCTTCTTAATACTTGAGCCTAAGTGGCAGAAAATATAGGGGCAGGTTTTATGAAAAAAATTGACTTCCAGATGGACCTGAATACTCCAGATGAAGTCTTTACCAAATCTTAACAGAAGAGTCTGTTATTCCCAACATGCATAACAAATGTTCGTGTTATATGCTTCAAAAGGTTTGTTTAAAATATTGTGTGTAACCTAACTATATATGTTTCTGAACTGTTCAATCCCTGCAGATTTTCAGCGGATGATACACAAGTACAATGGCTAAATTATGAGCAGTGATAACTTTTTATTATAAGCCAACCTTAAAATGCAGGTTGAATCATATAAATAGAAACACTTTGTCTCCTTCAAAGTGTAGAGCTGGGCTCTCTTGGTAGAGGGAAAAAGCAGTCAGGATTGTTCAGCCAAGAAAAGTTTGTTGTTTTCTTATGATTGCTAACCTCTTTTTTTTTTTCTTTTTTCCTTTGGATAGGGAAAAAGGCTATCAGATTATGGTTCTACCAGCATATTTGACATCACCAGAGATGCCACATTTGAGTTATCTTAGGAGTTCTGTAAATCCCAGGAAGCATTTTTGCTGCCTGTTAGGGTAGAAGTTACTTGTTTAAATATTGAAATGGGGTAAACAGAAGTTTTCTTTCTAGATGCAAATGACTTCCAGTTTTGGGTATTAATTAGCATTGTGTCACAGAAAACCAATACCTTAGTTACAAAAGTACATTTTCCTGATTTGTTCTTGTGGGAGTGAATTTTAATAAGAAAAACACCTTGTCTTGTCTGACAGCTGATGACAACATCAAAATCACCGAGTGACTAAGATGACAAGCCATCCCTACACATCAACACATCAGGCTTTTATTGCTGTCTTGGGTGTACAAGAAACTTGTATTAAAGTGGTGTTTAACAAAGACTCACTCTGTTTGTCAGTTCTGTGACATGATCTATATGAGGGAAGGAATAATGTCCCCATGTCAACTGAAGATTGGAAGATTGCAGTAGGTATTACCAGTCTTCGTAGTATGAAGCCTGTCTGTAGAGATACAGACAAATCAAATGGCATGGTTTTTTCCATCACACTGCCAGATGGGGATTAGGCAAGTTTATGTAAAAATTTATGCATTGTTAGTCAGAAAACGATGGTTGAGATTTAGCACGAAATTTTCTTATGAAGAAATACAGACTTTTATCCTTAGATCAAGTTGATTACTGTGGTTTTATCAATGTCATCTTTAACTACTGGGACTTTATATCCATGCAGTATTGAATGGGGAATTACTAAAAGCACTGTGAAGGCATCCTTTCAGTGTGGAACTTTCCTTCCATGTATTCAAAAGTTATTGGAAATGCATCACTTTGTTTCACTAAAATACCATGATATTCTCTGATAGTCTCAGTCAGCTCCTTCAGACATAGACTGATGATCCATTCTTCAGCAGCTAGTAAAGTAGATGGAAATGGTGTGCTTTTGTGTGATGCATGCCTTTTTTAAACATTTCGTTAGGAAGATGCCAGCAAAATGTGCTTCCTCATAGTGCCCTGCACTGAGAGCTTTTTTCCAGCACAAGTTAAGAATAAACTCTCCAACTCCAGGTATCATATAGAGCTGTCTGAACCCCAGTTTCTCATATAGCATGTTTGCATGTTGAAGAATATGAAAAATCCCTTTAATTTTTTCAGCTTTAGGGGGTTTAGGACCTCCTAGAAAAAAAGGTTAAACAATGAAATTTATAGTTATTTGAAACAGCAGAATTAGGTTTCAACCACAAGTCCAAATTTGCACTTTCCACTTAGGCGTTCAGGGGAAGGGCAGGCTGATCTTTAGAAAAAAATAGGCATCTGATTTTATCACCAGAAAAACAGTCACAGAAATACTACCCTCGGGGTGATTTTTCTTATGCCTCCATGGAGAGATTTTGGCAGAAGCCACAAAACCAAACAGTTTCTTGCTGCTGCTTATTTCATTGTATGAATCTTGAACATATGCTCTGAGTGGGTTTGAAATCACTTAGATTTGATTTTTTATTTATGTTTATTATTATGCATTAATCCATAGCACTGAAAACATGTCATGAAGAAAACAGTGCAGTAGCGATTAAGTGGGAAAAATACTTCAAAATAATATTTTTAAAATGTTGCTTAATCGCTATGGTGACCAGCATTTTTATTTGCATTTTAATGCATTCTGTTTGTTTATCTATATTTGCCTCATTATTTCATGTTGTCAAGTACTTGGTTAATGTTATTATTTTGCATTTAAAGAAATTATGATGAGTTTTTGAGCATGATGTGATTTTCTATTTTTAATATAAAGATTTCCTGTTTTTCTCTAGAAAGGTTCTAAAGGAAATCTCTGTTGGAGACCTAAAGCCTAATGAAACAGTTGAAGCAAATCTGGAAGCACAACTACTCTCCAAATTAGACCATCCAGCCATTGTCAAATTTCATGCAAGCTTTGTGGAGCGAGATAGTTTCTGCATTATCACTGAATACTGCGAGGTGAGACTTGTAGATTACATTGAAGACATTTGAAAGAATGTGTGTGTTAAAAGAGGGTCTTAAAAGAAATATAGCCCAGTTTTCTTTAATGTTTTTCTTTGAATTTTACTCTTATTTCTTCCCTGTGGTATCACCTGCTACTTGTTAGGCATATTTCAAATAAGTAACGTTAACTGCTCACATGAGACTCATAGCTCATAGACAAACCAGAGAAGCTCAGGCCTGATCATATGGATGATGAGTTTGGTAGCAGCACTGGCTTTATAAAGTAGAGAATAGACAAATAGTCAAAGACCACCAAAGTTTGGAGGATACAAAAAGCATTGAAGGATATACTAGGGTATAGCTACCAGTTTCTTTTACTCCAGCATTTGGTTTAAAAAAATATTGATACAATCTGTTTTAAGGCTTTAAAGTAAGAATTTGTACATACTTAAGCCAGCTTTTTAAGAGTTTGTATCGAACAAGTGCCTACTTTGTATCAAATATAGATGTACCATGTTAAAAAAATACAATCTGTTGTACATACAGTGATCTTTTCATGAAACTGTGAAGCAGACTATTCAGTTGTGCTCTGCTAGACATCCGAAATGCTCTGGAAGCTAATGGCCCTGGACTACTGGGTTACCTGTCCACCAGTCAAACTTGTATTAACTACTCACATTTCTTCAAGCATTCGGCTTTGGTCTGAGTAATTAAAGAAGTATTATTCCTGCCAAAGAAACCTTAGAAGGTTTCTTTGATGACAGTTAAATGCCTATTTACTGCTGAGATTTTTTAAAATTAAATCTGAAATGTTCAATTCCGTTATGCAATCTGAATATTTGTTTTAACACCCATGCAGAGGCTCTTTGCGTAATTTCCCTGAATGTCTGACAGCTGAGGCTTGATGGAAATTCAGTACTGCCAACTCTCTGTGGAAATCCAGAGCTCAGAACTGAAGGATTATTCTAACTGCCCAGATATTCCCATGCACTGATTCATTTTCTCTCTACCAGTGGTGGAAAGTGGCCCAGCACCAGATCAGTTAACCCTATAGGAATAAGGGAGCCTCTTCCAGCAGCAATATAGAGCTGGACTGGTGGCTTTGGTGTACAGTTTTTTGTCTTTTTTTTTTTTTCCTTCATCTGGAATAAAGTTACAGGTGAATAAAAAAGAGCATAATAGCAATCACCATAGTAATCATAAGCTGCTGCAGCACACCTTGGAATGGTTTTTGTTTAGGCAATGTAAACTACCCTGCGTGAAAATGTTTTGGTGTGTAGTTACCCTGGGATCTGGAAGTCACATACTCAAACACGTGAGAATGTATTAGAGCAAGGCAAATGAGGGAGGAGGAAATAGAGGCATTGGCTGTGCAGCTGAATCTTTTCCTTTTGGAGTCCGCTAGGGCAGGCCAGAATGACAGTGGTTCCACTAGGATGTGACTTTTTCCAGAAGTGTGCATTATGTAGTATCGTTGCATTTTAGCAATTACAATGTATTTAATAGAACGTTCAGACAAGGAAAGTACAAAGCAAGGTTTCACATAGTGCTGTAAAGTTTCTTTTCTATTTTAGTGGGAGCATTTCCGGAAGGTATACTTTTGTATTTACTTACCTATAACCTGCCTTTGTATGTGGTGTGGGATTTGAATCTTTTAATCTAAAAGATACCTGTTTAAGTTGCACATAAGTTGAAAATGAGACAAATGAATTGCTACTTGATCCTTCTTTGGAAGCCTAGTACATTCAGTTTCTCATGCGTAGAATAATTACCAGATTGGCAGTAATTGGTACTCTTGGGCAGACTCAAAACAAAAAATAAATATTAAGTTGGCATGGAAACAGAACTACTTTCTGAGCCTTATTCTGTTTTCTCTAAAGTACTGTGACTTATTCATTAGCCATAGTACTTTGCTCATTCTTGCATGAATAGCGTAGAGTGAGCCTCCAATGCAGCTGCCCTGTGCTATACCAGTCCTGTGAACAAAAGAGAACATTGGTCTCCATTGCTCAGCTTGACATCCTCTATTATAACTGTATTCACTCAAAATTATAGAAAAGAAGTACATGTTTTCTGTTTTGATCTTCTTGTTGAGCTTCTTTGGCAGTTTTCCTGAACTGAAATCTTACAGGCAACATAAACATTATCATGTAAGTCAGATTTCAAACAAAAATGCCTTCAGGAACCTTGGATTCCATTTTGTAACATAAATTTGACTTCAAAAAAATACAGTTTTTCCAAAATAGCTACTTTAAAAATTGCATAATTTTAATACATCCTAAGCCAGAACTAGTTGTATTCCCCCCCAGGCAGTTATTTCTGTCTCATCACTGTGGTCTCAGCTGTCATGTGAGGATACATACACTAAGGAAATCTGAGCAAAAGGAGTAACTGAAGCAATCAGTGCCTGTTCACATTATCAGCTCTAGATGCTAAGCTGTTTTAAATAAGTTACTGTTGATATTTAAATGAAAAATGCAGCTTGGAAATTCCCTATGTACTTAATTTGTTAAATTCCTTATGAACTTCATTATACTCACCTTCCAAAATGCAAAATTGGGTTAATAAACTTCATCAGTTTCATGGCACCAGTATTTCAGCAAATCTTTTATGAAATATTTTTGTATTCCTTTTTTAGATGCAAAATCAAGGTTAAATTAATTGTAGGACATTCAGACAAGTCTTCTCTGCTTGATACAGTTACTGGAGGGCATATGTAGAACTTTATCCGACTGCTTTTGTACTCCTTAGACCTTTTGAAGGAAATGTCCCCCAAATTAGGAGAGTATTCACTAGCCTAACTCTGTAGGTCCTACGTTTCTTTTCCTTGCATTTTTCAAGGCAATGTGTGATTGTGAGAGGGGACACATTGGGACAGGGACAAACAGTGATTGGAGCCTTCTGCACTTCATCTACCCTCACCTGGATAGTACGTAGTCCCTTGTGGCCAGGAGCCAGCTGACGCATGTTTGAGCAGCCCCTGAGTCTTGGGATGTCCCTACAGTTGGCTCTAGATGGTCTGGGGCAGCTGTCTGGAATAGGTGAGTCATTATTTTTGAGGTGTGTGAGTAGGCTCAGGCCCAGCCCATCTGGTTGCCGTGCAGCCGGGTACCCAGCAACACTTTTTCTTTCCTCCTTCTGCTCTGCTGCAAGCAACCAGGGGGAAGCTGCTGAACATTTGGAGTTGCAAAGGGGAAGCAGCTGCTGAAAGCTCCAAGTTCCCAGAAGAGCTTCTCCCTGGGCCGCAGCAGGGAGGCAGATGGAGAGCGGAAGCCATGTTCTCTTCCCTAGTGAATGAGATGATGCAGACGTTTCCATTATAAAATTGCAGGACATTGTCAGGGAACACATTTTTGATACATGACAAAACATGTTTTCTTTTTTATAAAACATTCACTCTTGAATATTGTACCTTAGAACCTCAGAGACCAGAGAAATTACTGTAAATTCATGCCAAAGTAAAGGACAGAAATGTATAGATCTGCAAAGACAGAATCTGCTTATTTTGTAGCAGCAATATGGAGCACTGTGGTGCTGGGAACAGAAAAACAAGAAATTCTGAAGAGATCGTAAAACGTTGAGAGTCAACAGTGCAGAGAAGGGAGGGGTTGATGATGGGAAATGGTGATACAGGTGCAGTTGTACAGGTTAAACTATTTTCTTGTATATGGCTCATAAAACTTCTGATTTTATGGAGAATGCATAATGTAAAAGTGATGATTTATGGAGAATAAGCTGTCCTGATGCAAGGTAATAGTCACTAGAGTACGATGAGACTCATAGTCCCTTTGCTCTGGGATTAGTTACCTCAACACACTGCTTGTCACTAATGTGCATTCTTGTAGACAAAATGCATTTATTTTATAAATTGGATAAACAACCAGCTGACACTCATCTGTTTATTTTTTAGCAAAACGAACAGTTTTCATATAAGTCTCCTCAACAACATCTTTCATTGTGGTGTTGTTCAACTGATTTTTCCAAATGTCTGACAGGGTTTTCAAGTAGTCTTTTCCTGGTTTATTTTCATGGCCTACTGTGTGTCATATTGCTCCATTTCTAGTGGTACTTCAGTCGTTTTAATGAAGTATTTACAGTAACACATGCTACAGACTCTTGAAGCTTTAATTTTGCTTTTTTTTATGGCAAAAGTGAATTTGGAAGAAGGACAAAGTATCATTATTAAAGAGACTATATTTTAATTCTTCAGAGATCAGTATGGTTTCTTTGATGCTGTCATGGTTATTTATATTTATATAATAAATCAGGGCATCTCTTGACTGTGCAATGTTTGACTTTAGTGGAAATACTTTTGCCCTCATCATAAACCCTTGCAGAAAACCAGCATTTCTACAACATGATCCATCCCTTCCTACGGTAGACAGCTAGATGGCAGAGATAATTGTGCTTTACAGATGCCTCTTCCTTTGTGTTAACTCTAAAGGGAGTTTGAGATGGCCAGCTCAGACGTACGTGTCTAAAGCTGGGGGACATGAAGTGAGAAGAGTTGAAAACTGCTGGTATTGTGTAACACTAAGAGAAAACTGACCTACTTTCCCCATGCTGCCAGACTGCCTGATCTCATTTTGATCCTCAGTTGTGTATGCTGTTGGTGCTGGGAGAGTTCAGAACTCATGTGCAAGCATTAATTTTACAGACTGTGTGGAAGGGAGCCTGAAGGTCTAAGAAAATGGAGTCTTGTACTTTGATGAAGGAGAGACATTTTTAAACCTTTCTTTAAATGTACAAATATGTTGCAATGTTTTTCAGGGTGGAGATCTAGACTTTAAAATTCAAGAGTACAAAGAATCTGGGAAGATATTCACTCAAAGACAAATAATAGACTGGTTTATACAGTTGTTACTTGGAGTCAACTATATGCATGAAAGGTACAGTCATTTAATATGAGAGCATTTAGCTTGGGAGGGGAGGGAGTAGATTTGCTGGCTAGTTGCAGATGTTCAAACAGAACCAAAACCGTATGGATTGTCATTTATAGGTATAAAGTCCTGTTCACTAAACTGCTGTAGTATATGTCATGTACCTAAAGTGTAATTAATTATCTATCCTGCAAGAACATTGTATATTACATCTTTCAGCAGTGCTGTGGTAGATGTCTTTCAGCATTAGACCCACTTTTTCTAAAAGCCATGCGAAAAACTTAGCATGACAGATATAGTTTGATATTGTTAGAAGAGAATGGATTAAAAGGTTAAAACAAAGTCAGCTTTTTCAAGGGAAGTCAACAAGGATGTCTTGCAGATGTTTAATGTGAAGAATCCAATATATGTGCTTGATGTACTTCCACTGAAATCAGTGAAGTTACATACATACATTTTTTGAAAATAGATATTACTTTTAACAGCACATCAAAGAATTGCTTAAAAAATTACTGCAGGTCATCCATACAGTGATGTTGGGAGAGGACATTTGGTTTGACCATGGGTAGATGCAGGTGAATACCCACCTGGTCATCTCCATGGGTGCAGTTCTTGCCTGCAAGGTGATTTAGGGAGGCTGACTTGGGTGATTTAAGCAGTTCCCTCTTTACCAGTGTACTGGGCCTGTGCACAAGCCCTGTCTGGTCCTCACACACTCATCCAGTGCTGTCACCTTTGAGGTAGGTGTGCCTATTTAGCATGGTATGAGAGAGACCAAGTGCAGTGCTGAGCCAGGAGCAAAAGGCCCAGCATTATGCCACCCTCATTGAGAGCTGGAGGAACAGCTGAGCAAATGGGAATACCAGCTCCTTTGGTAGCAGCTTTTCAGAAACAGTGAGCTGGCTGAAGTCAACCTGACTTTCCATCTTCTCCTTTCCTCTGTCTCCTTCCTGTTGCGTTTGCCTATTGGCAGCTCTGAAATGTCACGTTAATGAACAAGACAGAGAATCCTTTCTAAAGAGCATTGTAGCCCAAAAGTCCAATATTTTTCATCCTGCCAAGTTGAACTATTTGGACTATTATTCCTATTGAGCTTTTAGAAATAAGAATCTCACTGCTGCAAGAATTGTCTTAGCAGAGGCTGAGGATGTTTGTCTGGAATCACCGGTATGTTTTGGATAGATGAGTTAATCTGCCTAAAATAATGGCCAAAATTATTAATACAGCCGGGAGGGGACATGTTTATGTTTGAAGAGTAGGTTACACCCAGAATCTGGACATGATAATTCCATTTTTTTCAACCTGAATGTAAACTAGAATCCATAGTTTTCTATCCTGCATGATTACTCATAAAACAAGATTATTATGCACTGGGGTGTAGGTGAAAACACCAAATTGATGTAGCTGTTTCAAATACTTTCACAGCAGGGCATGGGCCAAATTTGATAATCACCTGCCACCAAGAACAACCATCTCTGAGTTGAGCTGAAATGAAGTATGTGGGATACGTTTCACCTAAACTGAATGATGCCTAAGGAGTTTTTGCACCTACGGTGTCAGACTCTGGAGGGAAAAGGGCAGAGTGAATTGGTGTCCAAGATGCAAGAACATTTTTGTTCCTAAATTCCAATTTATCTGAGGCTTGTACATGAAGTGCCACTCCCACAGACTGCAGTGATGGGAGCACAACAAAGAGCTCTCTGTTCCTTGGCATTCACCTCAGGTGGAAGGGACAGATGGGCATGGAAATAAAAATCCTGATTGTTTAACTGTTGGGATTTTTGTTTGGGGTTTTTTTTTTGGTGGTGGTTTTTTTTTTTTTTT